CAAACTCTGACCTAGCCTCTACAGAAGTCTCTGCAGCAGAAGATGCTGAGTGTGTCTAGTCTCTCTGCTCCTCTAGAACTCATTTCATTCATTTGCTATTACTAGTACATCCATGGGTAGTATAGGGGTAAATATAGAAACTCTTCAAGTGCCAGGCTGTTACATCAACTGTGCGCAGAGTAGAAACACATGCCAGACTAAAAAGTGGAGCTTGAGTCAAAAATGCTGTTTAGCTGAACCACAAATCATTAAAAAATGAGAAGGAAGACGTCAGCATTTAGGCTAGGACTGATCTCATCTAACTCAACCTTTCGAGCAGTCAGGACGTCTCACTAGTTGTCCAAGTCCCCATCACAGCCAAAAAAGAGGTACTGCTAGATGGTATTTAGTCACACAAGGCAGGTGGTGTCATAAACACACATGCATTTGTTGGACTCGCCACCAGCTCCTGAGACAGCAAAAATACACCACTTTGCTGTGGTATCAGCACTATCAGGGTGTACACACCAGAGCTAGGAAAATCCAGGTTTTTAAGAAGGCAGTAGAGGACCTCTGACAGAGACCATTTCCAGAAGAGTAGTTATATCTATTAGAGCTATCAGGATGATGAGAACGCAGAGCACACTGTCATCCCACAAAAATCTTTAACAGATCTCTGCTCATTTTGTGTTACAACAATCTGGAAATATAGAGGAGTTTTTACACAATTCTCTTCTAAGGAACTGCAATTAGCAAACTGGCGAGGAGTGTGTAGGAACACACCAAATGCGAAGCAGTACAAAAGACAAATAACTGGATTGAGTTTCTCCATAGTCTCAGAGTTGCATAAGGGAAGGCTGTGGGTATATTGTGTGGGAATCAATACGCCACAAAAGGTTACCACCTACTTCCGCAAGTAAGATCAAAGCATCAGATCTTGATGACTGAAAAGAGAGTGGGATGCTCTGTCTAGCACTGTACTCTCAGAAAATGAAAAATTATAAAATATTAGCTGCATAACTCTCAACCTCTATACTCTTAAAAATCTTCTTTCCACTTTTTATTTCTAGAAGTGCATTTATGTGTGGGTTTCATATTGAGAGACAATCCCCTGAAATTAGCCTAAAAATATGAATCTCATAGAGAGGAGTCATCAGAAATTACCTAGCATGTAAACCTGACAGCATGTATCATTGTTTACAGTTGGTTTACAGTTAACAGGGGTTGGTTACATCTGACCAAAGCAAGGTGTTTAGTGTAGACCTCTACCTTTGAGCTAGTCATACAAGGACCTTTGCACATTTTTAGAGCATGATTCATCCAACTTATTTCATATTTTTACTTTAGGGTAAAATGAATCATGTTTCTCAATTGCCCATTTTTCTCTGTTGATCAAGAGGAAAGCCTAAGGTGACTAGTTCTGACTATATTTCATCATATAGATTACATCTCTGGAGCCCAAGAGAATGAGAGGGACAAAAAAAAAAAGTGGTTCTGAATGGGAAACAGAAGGAAAAAGAGAATTCATAAATGGCTGGATCACATTACGTGCCCTTCAGTGTAGGGATCTAAATGGCAAGCTTGTGACATTTATACCAATAGTCAAAAAATAGGCCAATGAAGATAGAAAATCAATTAGTTTGAACTGTACACCTAGGTTGGTGACAATCTCCATTGAGGAAGGAATCAACAAGTGAGACTTCTCTATTAAAAAAAAAAGTTCCTTTTTTTTTTTTTTTTTTTGTAACCTCTAGAAAAGTCTTAAACCAGTTTTTCAGCTATGAATCATGAGTTGAGCTGTAAGCCCATCAGAAATTTAGTCTGCTGGCTGAGGTACTAGTGGGAAACTAGGGATGGAGTTGGAGGAGTTCAGGAACTGCTGCCTTCTACTTCAGGACAGTTTTTATTTACAAATTTGTACTGGCTCTGCCTCTTGCAAAAGGAAAGTAAATCCACTGAAACAAATTTGGAAGTGATTCACAAGGCTGTGGTGGACCAAACACATGTAAAATTTCACTTCATCAAATACTTCTAGCTGGCAAACACTTGCGATGCTTCTGGTTACTGCCACATAAGAACTAGAGTATTTAGCCGTGAATGCTGTAACACAACCACCATAATCCTCAAAAACGACTCTCTCGACACAAGGCAAAGAGCAGCACTGTGGGAAGGGGATCCCAGGCTCACCCCCATGGCACATCTCTTACCAAACTGCAACACCACGAAGATTTAAACATACACCCTATGCAAAGAGGTCCATATTGGCCAATATGGAGGAGACTCCCAAGCTCTCTGAATACGCACCACTTTTCAGACCTGAATGGAGAACAGTCTGTTGTGAAACCCACACCAAAAGCCAGGTCAAGCTCGGTGGACTTAGATACACCTATATGCACCTGTATACATCTATAGTGGAACAAGAGCAAAGCCACCATGGCAAAAAGCGTGTGGCAGCAGGGTGCGGTGTGGACCCACCGTGCAGGCAAGCTCATCCTCGGGCATCTCTACACCATTTCCCCTCCTTAGTATTGACATGCCTCGGGGAGCACAGGCACATCTCACTCAGCACACAGGGTGACACCATTAAGATGGAATATTGCAGAAGAGTAAAAATAATGCACTCGAGCAGAATTTTGCTGAAAGCACAGACTTGTTTGGAGTCCAGCCTGCTCACATATCAGGACAAATTTGGCTCAGTTTATATCCTAATGATTATAATGGATACTGCAGTCTTCGTTTCATTAAACCAGGAGCCAAAAATATTGATTTGTTGTACTTCACGCTCCTGCTTACCTTCACAAATTTCAGGAGAGACAGTGCATAAGCCAATAGAGTCAGTCAGTTTAAAAGTGACAAATTAACTGCACTGAAAGTAAATAAACAGCTATCTCTTTGTAAATTAATTCAATATGTGACTTGAGCTCTTTTCTACAGCTAGAAAGCTGATTCATCATTCAGCAGCATTTAAGTTGCCACCAGTTCAATAGCAGAGTATTAATGTTGTGTCCTATTTGACACAGCAGGTCAAATTCTGCACTTGGGTTAAACCAGCACAACTTGGAGTAACTCCTGAATCCTCAAGTCCTGCTCTCCACATCACCCCAGCTGCAGCTTTGCACCTAAGTGTTTTAAAAGCTGGTTTCAAGAAGGTTTAAGTTGTACTGAACAGTTGGGGAAAACAGAAGAGGAACCCAAAAGTCTTTTGATTTGCTGGATTATCAAGTATCACCTGGAACGGTTCAGTGAAACAGCACAGGTTGGTTCATTTTCATGAAAATACTCATGAAAGAGTGAAAGGCAGAGAAATACAAGCAACTTTTAAAGTTCGAGGGGTTGTGTTTTGTTTTTTTTTTTTTTCCGCGCACAAACTAGGAAATTCAGGAAAGAAACTAAGTATGTTTAATGTGGAATGTTGAGTATAATTCCCACTCATGTCAAAACATGATTTGTGTTTTACTGAATGGGGGCCTAACTCATCATAGGCTATCGCCCCTACTAGTCTAGGCACAGGGTAAAAAGCCTGGTTAATTTATTAATTAGCGACATGCACTAACTTACTCTCCCTACCAATTCCTTTCAGTTCAATAAATGTTGAATCCTGAGATTTCCAGAGCAATACTGCAGCTTTTGGACCAATCTCCCATTGCTTTATAAAGAACTCGCTTATCTGAAGTTGATGCTACTCAATAAGCAGGTAGACCAAAATTTTCAAATGCAGGAGCTTAAAATTGAAATTCATGTTTAACTGCCTACATAATATTGCCCGAATGCCTTCAACTGCTATTAGCACTGTAGGATATGTGAGTTCTTAATATTTCTGGAAATTAGAGTAGGTGCCCTCTTGACTTCTGACACTCAAGTTTGATGTTTCTGTACACAAGGTTTTGACTGTATCATCTGTGCACAGCTGCAGCAGAGAGACTACAGCACAAATAGAATAAAAATATTTTTACTGCTTATGCTCAGACGCGATCCACAGCATTTGTAATGTCGTCTGTTTTTCATAATGCTCAGTTTAGAAAGTTGACATTTGATTAAACAGTTTGAATTTGCCAAAACATACATTTTATTCTTATGTTTTAATACCACATTCTCAATTAAAAGCTTTAGAAAAAGACATACAAAGTCTGCTTAAACCACAGTAAACCCACAGACCTAATACATTTTATATAATTTCTGAAACTGTTGACCAATATTTTCTAATTTCCTCACTACTTCTAGTACCACAGCTGTACCATTACTCCCAACAGCTATCAGACATTTAAACAGCCAGTTTGTTAAGTGTTTTACTAGATAGCCTTTTATCCTTAATATTTACTACATTTTCCAATAGGGTGGCAAGGTAGTGAAGTTCAACGTTTTAAAAATCTTCACTCTATTAATACTGTTTTCTAACATCGATGTTCATACTACTACTACACCAAAGGCAAGCTAGCACAGTTTGTTTACAATTAAGCATCTTTCCCTGTATTTCTACCTTTACACAGCATGCCAACACTGATGAACACCGTGCTACAAGAAAGTGTATTATACAGAATGGCACATCATTCCAGACTGCTAACTCCCATGAAAAATTACTCCAACAACAATAAGAGCAAGACCACAAACAGGTTTTAGGATGAAATAATTCTTGTTTCGTAATCTGTATTTCCTTTCATTGGATTTAACGCTGCATTCAAGGTCATGACTGTTGTGACTCTGTGGAGGTGACCTGAGTAATTTTCAATGATCAAGATAATACAGTGACTGGAAGTGAGTCATTCTGTAACTATCACTGCTTTCTAAACAGAGTCATCACATAGCTGTTGAAAAGGACTGTGTATTATTTCACACCCACAGAGTGATGAATGTAACCAGGTAATTAAATCATGTCATTGCTGTGCCTGGAAAATCCTTATTTATAACCTTATCTTGCCTAGTAAGAACAGAACTTCTTGTTAAGAGTATAAAATAATTATGCCTAAGCTTTGTTTTTGCAAAAACCTCTATGAAGGAAAAAGAAAATTAGAAATAAAACTCACCAGTTTCTTCATCTATGCTGAATCTCCCCAAGCCGCTGCCATCCCTGATGGAATACTGGATCTCTCCATCCCTTCCAGAGTCTTCGTCTCGAGCAACAACTTGCAAAACACTTGTACCAATGCGGGAGTTTTCCTTTACAGATCCAATGACGGCAAAGTCAGGAAAATAAGGGGTATAGAGATTTTCGTTAACATCCACCACTTCAACTTCCACAAAAGAAACAGAAGAGAGAGAAACTGGGCGCCCCTTGTCCTTCGCACGCACGGTCAGGTTGTAGAACTGCTGCTTCTCATAATCGAGCTCTTTGTTCAAGCGGATGGCGCCGCTCGCTTTGTCTATCTCAAACCGCCCGTTGTAGTCGTTCACCAGTGAGTAACGGACTTGCCCTCCCAAGCCGAGATCTGGATCCTGAGTTTCCAACCAAGCTATGACAGTGCCAACTGGCAGGTCCTCAAGGACCTTCACGTTGTAGCTGGATGGTATAAAGGCTGGAGAACAATCATTGACATCATCCAAAAAAACCTTCAGAGGCACAACGGAAAACTGCTGATGGACACCCTCTGCTTTGTCCCTAGCCTCGATCTTCAGTGTGTAGTTTGCTTTTGATTCCCGGTCTAGTTGATCAGCCACATACACCATTCCTGTGGAACTGTTGATAGCAAATTGCTGGGTGTCTGTCAGTACTGAGTAAGTCACTTCACCATTAGATCCTAGGTCTTTATCTCTGGCTTCTACCTGGATAATCTCTGTACCAAGACTTGTACTTTCTAAAATATTAACTGAGTAACTGTCCTGTAAAAAAATAGGCTTGTTGTCATTTGCATCCTCCACAGTAACAGTCAACAGTCTCCATGCAGATTTCTGTGGATTACCTAAATCATAAATTGTAATATTAAGGATATAGAGCTCTGTTTTTTCACGGTCCAAGGGCATAAGAACATTAAGTACCCCCATCTCCATGTCAATGTTGAAACAACTATCTACATTACCATCCGAAATTGTATAAAGTACTCTTCCATTAAAGCCTGAGTCTGCATCATAGGCTTTTATCCTCAGGATGGTGGCACCAACTGGCAGATCCTCTGAAACCTTTAC